AAAATATTGACTCCACTTGATGAAGTTCATCTAACTTTATTAAATGTAAAATCTACATTTGAAGTACAAGAGGTCATATTTTTTGGAAATTTATGTGGATTTTATGGAAGGAAATTAGATCCAACCAAGGTTGATGCAATTGAGAGAATGAAAGTAAATTATGATTCTTTAATAGAGGTGCATAGGTTTTTGGATGTATGTTTGTTTTATCATATTTAGATTCCTTACTATGCTTACATAGTGGATCCATTATATGAATTGTTACTCAAAGATTATCAATTTAAATAGGAAAAAAAAGTAACAAGTATAAAGGAAAATCAATAAAAATTACTTAAGGAGTTTTATGATAGTCTATAGGTGATGTATAAAGGAATTTGGACTATTTTTGTTAAATTCATAGAACAATATTGATAGAAGAATATGTATCAAGATGTAATTGTGTTTGTAGAATCTTGTATAACTTGTCAGATGTATTCAAATATATGACATTGAGATGGTCTACATCCAACATATCCTTATATTATTCATTTTAAATGAATTGTGGATTTGATTATTATGTCAGTAGAACTATGAAAAATAAGGTATTTAGTTTTGGCTCGTGAAGATTTATCAAATCAAATAAAAGGAAGGACACTAAGAACAAAGTTTACATAAGGAATTTGCAAGTTTTTGCTTGAAGATGTTATTTGTCACCATAGATGTATAGGAAAGATTACTACAAATTGTAAAGAATTGAATGAACATAAAGCTTGTGAATTCTTTAAGAGATGTGGGATTAAATTATCATTGATTATTACTTATAATCTAGAAGAGAATGCAAAGAGTAAATGTGAATATCCACCAATTATAAAATCCTTAGTTGAAGCTTGCAATGAAAAAATGAAGGAACAGCCTCAACTTCTATTTTATGCATTATAGACTAATTGAACAACATATAGTTCAATGACATGATATATGCCAATGGACCTTATGATAGGTCAAAAACCTATTATGCCAATTGAAGAACATATGCCAAATTAGAATATGATAACTTGAGAAGATGGATTGACAAGAAAAGAATTATTGGCTATTAAAATTTAACAACTTAAGCAAAGATTAGAAGATATAGAATTAACATTGAAGAAATTATAAAAGATTAGACTAAGAAACAAGGCTCGGTTTAATAAACAACTTCAATTGAAGCCTAGAGCAATTGAAGAAAGGGATTGAATACTTATTTATGATAGCAATTTGGATAACTAGTATAGTATTTTGAAAAAGTTTTTAAAATAGTGGTTTGGACCATATGTAGTAGTAACAGTCCATGTTAATGCCATATATTTATTGAAGAAGTTTGATGGTACAAGGTTAAAGATATCTATTTCTAGGAAGCAAATGAAGATTTTCAAAAGATAAGATAGAGAAATCAATGTAGAGGATCATGTTAAAGATATCAATATTTTTGAAGAAGATAATTGTAATGAAATGAATGGTGAAAATAATAATGAAAGAATTGATGCAAAAAATGAAGAGATGGTATAATGCCAATCATGATGTATGATTCATTTCATGCATACTAGAGGATGCACAAGTTCAAAGGAGGTAGATGTCATATTTTAACACAAGTGTATGATGAAAATATAATCAAAAATAATTTTTAATTAATATTTAATTATTTTAAATTAATAATAATTCAAGACACGTAAACATGGCTTTTATAAAAAGCCTCTAATTTTATTTTCTTGTCTTAATAGCAAGTAGATTAAAGATTAGCTAATAATTTTACCTTTTAAAATATAAAACTTTTTTAGTACCATAGAAAGGCCATAAATTAATAAAAATAGGATAGAAGAAATAATTAATTAATATAATTGATACTAAGATTAAGTTAAGAATAGGGTCGAGCTAAAAAATCTCTATGATAGGTTGAATTGATACTTAGAGATCGACTATTTGTGGGACAAGATCAAAATCAGACCTCTAGCCATTAAAATGGCTATCTAGTACAAAGTATGGAGGCATTTGAAGCTCGGCAACTAGGATTGGTGAGTTAGTTTTAAGTTTATTCTATAAGTATAAGACTTGTTTTTATAAGATTTGAGATGAATTTGAAATTATTGTTCAAATTTATGATTTGTATTGGTGACTTGGAATTTATGCAATACAATTAGGACTAGCACTCTTAGCTAGTTTGTGCAATTGGTGTCATATCCATGGTTCAAAATTTGGCAATGCTTAGTTAATTGAGTGTGCTAAATGAATGTAGAATTTTTTGTTGATCTAATGATGTGATTGAAAGTTATTTTTTTTTTGATACAAGAAGATATTGGAAGTTGGTAGTTTGGAATTGAATAGGGTTTCTATAATATTTTAAGATCTACTAGCTAGATCATAGTGAAATTTGGTATAGTTTTAAAAGACTTGAAGATCAAACTATACATGAATTTTGAGCTAAAGTTAATAGTTGAAGTAGAAAAAAATTATATTGGAACATCTATATCAATATTTGAGTTGGTAGCCAAGTCACATTAATATAGTTTTTTGGACATTTCTCACAATATATAAGTTGGATTGGACTGAATTTTTCTAACATATAGAAGATTTATAGTGGCATTTGTGTGCAAAATTTTTCATGGATTGAATGGTCAAATTAGAAGTTACAGCTTGCTGAAGCTTACTCATTAGAATTAAGGCTTGCAAAGAAAAATCAAAATTACCTAATTATAATAGTAATAAGGCAATTGGAGTTTATATATAGTTTTCGTTAATAAAAAGAATATTTTTGAGTACTTTGTATTGGCTTTAAGTACTTTTGAGTTGAAATTCAAAATACATTCTTCTTATAATGGAAAAATCTATTAAAATTACTTAGATATTTGTAAAATACAACTTTACTTTCTACAGCTATATGCCTAGTGTATTTTCAAACAAAATAATACATAATATGACAAAAAAATGATACTAATAAATGTATATAGGAGCAAGCTAAGAACCTAACAAATATAGCAATTAAGGTTGATGCTTCTTATCAATAACATCTATCCAAATGAAGATGAAGGATGTCAAATCTTTGTTATAAAAGAATCATGATTTGAGAAAGATTTCATTCTAATTTCTATCCATGTTTGTATTTTTTTATTTATTTGTGGCATTAAAGAGATAAAAAACCAAAAAATTAAAAATTAAATTAAAAAACTATTGTTTATTGAGTTATTGGACAAGACATTGCGATTATCACAATCTTCAAGACAATACAATAGAGATGAAGACCTTCAAGAACAACATGATCTTTGTCAAATAGATAGTAAAATGCAATGTATTTTATATCATAATTTTAAAAAAGACTTCTATTACTTGGTGATATTATTAGATATTAAAACCACCTTTAATAGAATAATAAATATTTTATTTGAAAGAAGTTATGAAGGCCTTAACAATGATCAAATAATAGAGTGGTCTTTTTTCCTGAAATGGAATATTATTGATTGCTAAGAAAATCTATTGACTATCTTTGAAAAGAACAATAATTGAAGTACGTGACAAATATAATTCATCACATCTTAGACCATAAATATATAATCACTGTTCTTTGTGAAACTTATTTCTAGAAAGAAGGATAATATCATAGATATGTATATATTTTAATAGTTACTCAGGCAATATGATTAGGCTAAAGTAAATATAAATAGAGTGATTTCATAATATCTTCTTGAATAGTTTCATGGAAGCTTTATAGATACAAATTCACTTTTATACATATCTATAAGTGATTGATAGATTGAAAACTTAGCCAATAAATTACCCACATCTTATTTATATTAATATCTTGTGGTACAAGCTAACAATGTAGCACACATGTAGGAAACTTACCTTGCAAGTTAAAACATGTATCTTACAAATTGAACACATATCGGAGGTCCTGTAGAATGTTGCCACATAACTCTTAGATAGATAGTTTATATAGAAGCAAAAGTGAAGCCTTTTTTTATTCTTGTCAACATTTTTTTTTATTCTAATTTCAAGGATTTATACTATTATTGTCTTTAGAAATAGACATTTTAGTCTTAATACTATACTACTTTTGGAACAAATATTTATTCTTCTTGAATTACACAAGAGTATTTAGATATTCTTCATATTTTGATTCATGTCCTTGACAAAACTTCAATGTTGATATGACAATTATATTTTTTTTTAAGATTAGGATTGTATCGAAAAACATCTCAATTGTCTACAACATGATTGCCAATATTATACAAGTTATTGCATTATATATTTATATTAGAAATTATGTTTATTCATCTCTAAAGAATATAAAGAAGATAATTTCAAAACTTTAAATACTCACTATAATATTTCATAATTCTTATTTGTAGCATGTGTACCATCATACCCAAACCAATTCAAACAAGAATGGATCTTAAGTAATAATACATAATAATATTATTATTACGAATATTTATTGCAATCTATTACAATAATACAAAACAAATCTACTAATAGATTACAATAGATTGCAATAGATACTACTATCCACCAATCTATCCACCAACCTTTAATTTTTTATAGAATATTGAAGAAATTATATTTTTAAAAAATTAAAAAATAATTAGTCAAATTGCACCCAATTAAGTATGAATCATCAAGAATTCAAAACTAACAATACTTCCTCACCATAAATCTCCATTAAACATATCTCAAGATCATAAACAAAAACCACCACATGCCTTGAAAAAGTTCCAATCACAGAGTTAATTTTCATACAAACACACACACTCTCGCTCTCTTTCTTTGTATTGGTTCACGTCTGCAAAGAGTGACGCGGAGTATCCGACGTGGAGGAGATGTGGCGGTCAGGATCCGACGTATGCTGAGGTGGCAGAGGCCTTGCAATGGTGGCGTGGTGACGTCAGAAGACGAGCCTAACGCCGACCGCGACGTGAGGAAAGCGGACGCCGCAGTCACAGGGCCGCCTTCTTCCTCCTCCGTCTCCTTCCCCTTCGCCTTCCTCTTCTCCTTTTTTGTTTTCTATACAATCCCTTATTTCTGTAGTTGTTGTTGCTGTTGTTGTTGTTGTTGTTGTATTTGAGTTTCCGTGTGCGTAGCCCCTCGCGACGAGTCTCGCAGCTTAGTCTCATCGCGTTGCGGCAGCCATGGGGATGTCGTGGAAGATGATGGTCGGCCCAGCCATGCTGATGGGCATGAAGGCGGCCAAAATCGACTACGACGCGCCGCACAACTTGCTCATCATCCGGGTTCTGTACGCCGTCTCGCAGCTCGCGCTGTTCGGTGCTCTGTTTGTGATCTACCAGCGGATCAACCAAGAGGGCGATGAGAAGAGTACGGTGAAAGTGAAGGTTACTTCCGCCACGTAAGACCCGACTCCCTCCACCCTCTGGTTTTTTTAGCACATTGAAACCCTATGCATTTCCTGCTCGTGGGGATTTTGCCTGTTTCTGTTGGTGTCTATCTTCCGAGGGCTCGGAACTAGGTTGTGATGCCGGTGAATGTGTTCATCCGCGCTCTGTTAGTTTCGCTGTTATCTTAGTAATATGGTGGCGTAGATGGATGGACTTTATCATAGTTTAGTGCTGAAGGTTTCTTTGTTCCTTAATCAACGGATGGAGTTGTTAAGAGACTCAGGCGCTTAGATATCTGCGGTTCGCGACTTAGCATGGGTTTTTGTACAGCGCATGGTAACTTCACTTTGTAGAAATGTCGTCAAAGCTGTTCTATTAGGTGTAGAGAGGCCCTTTTGCAACGGTCTACTTGATGGACATTGCCCAGGTTAAGTGGATCTGATCGGTTGAGTGCCTAGGGCTTTTCTTTAAAAATAAAAATAAAAATAATATTTGGGAGATAAATTGAAGAATATGTTAGTTATCTTCGAACAAAGGTGATCTCTCTGGTAGAAATCTGTGAAAATATGTCACCTCGATTACCATTGTGCAGATGGTCTCGACTGTAAATGATAAGACATGTGGTTTTACCATGGCGTTTCAGATTCTTACACGTGTTAATCTCTTTCTGGCGAGTATCCTTCTCGCTAAGTTGCTTTCTGTGGTCTAGGATTAAGAACATGGTCACGAAACCCTTCTTCTGAATTAACGCAGATGTGAATGCTTGAAGCAAAAAATTCATCAGTCTTAACCTTAGTTCAATGTTTCATGTTTATGATGCAGGGGTACTTCAGAAGAAAAGGTGATGACCCATAAGGACTATGATATGTCAGAACTAATGAAGCTGGTCAAAAGTTTTGGAATGGTTAGTATTCTCTTAACGTACATTTTTCTCCCTATCAATGCCATTCCTCTTTGGCGTTGTAGAAGGTTGATCATTAGATCGTTTCATTTCATGGGAGTTGATCATGAGATCGTTCAGGCGCTATTTAGGTAAATGGTCACCACGTTGGGTTGTTTCCCCCGCCCCTAAATCACATGTATTGGTGCTATGAGCATGTTCATTGGACTCGTATGGTTTGTAGGTAGTGTTATGTGGTGCGTCTGAACTGCCTCACCTCGCGTTCAATAACTTATTTAGGTAGTTGTACAACTCTCTGAATAACGTTCGTGAATTTATTCAATCAAAGTATGACAGGAGTGGTTGGATAATTTTACTGCAGGGAGCTGTGATGACGGTCGGCATTCATGTCTACATGGCAGTGGTCCCCGCCCTTCTGTTACAATTGGGTACGATTCTTTTGAAATCTTCTTTCGCCTCTTTGGGTTAAATGTTAAGTTTGTTGTAAGTCACTAATATAATATGTAGAATTCAACGTGGGTATTTTTGCGTCACGTTGTAGCATATTCGAATCATTGTTTCTTACTGAAATGGAATTTGGATGCAGTCACGAATCCGATGACCTTGTGGGACAACGCCCTATTTTCCATATACATTTTGAAGAAGGATTCTAACAAGGATGAAAAGCTGAAGCGACCGTTCCCTAGTGACTCTCCTTTCGCCAAGTAAGTCCGTCGCTGAGCATTGATGTACAATCAACTATGCTTTGTAAGATATGTTTTGATCACGTGGTTTGAATAATTACACTTATATAATTGATTTTGGTTTCACTTGTGCTGATGACGACAGGATTGAAGCAATGAAGAAGGAGATGGCTGAAGCAGAGGAACTTGAGAGGAAGAAAAGAGAAGAAGGTGACCAGCCGGTAATTGAGGATACTGCCACTGCCACGGGAAGAGAACGTGTGTCAAGGGCTGAGAGAAGACCACGAATCAGGGATGAGAGTTCCGATAGCGATAAAGAGTAGGGGCAATTTTTTGGCTAGGAACTTTGCTATGGGTACACTGTTCTGATTTCTTGGATGTACATGAAGTTTTAGATACAAATACCCACATTAGATTATAACTCAGGTTGTATACGAGTTATTACTTGGTCAGGTAGTTTTGCACACCCTACAATGGGAATCTACTTTCAAATCTCTAACACCTTGTATTATTGTTAACAATACTCTTACATGTGCTAAATTTTCCAGACGATAGGATGTTAGATTTGTACCTGCATTAGGCACATTCATGGAAGATATTTCATTGATATGCGACGTGTTTACGGAGTACCAAGTCGGCCGCTAAATGTAGTACAACCGGGTTTTACGTATGCGATTACATCTGGCTTTAAAAACGTGGTGAAATTTTCTGACTATTTGTATAATCACTTGTTAATAATGATATTTTTAGACGTGTATACGAACAGAGGAACATTACTTGTGTAGCAATTAACAAACGGACATGTGGTTAACTTGCATTACATAAGTTCTATTCATCACATGTGCACATTTTCTGTTCCTAATGAACTATTTCCTAAGGTTGCGCTCCTAAACCTGGAATTTACCATGGATATATCACATGATCATTCTTCCCTGTATAAAAATCATTCTTCCGTGTATAAAGATCATTCACATTCATACCGACTTGTAGCGCATTAATGCAGAGCACGTGACAAAGCGATACGCAGACCTGGAATTGCATATACATAAATATTCCATAACATTGTAGGTAGATTAAACAAGGTTAACTAAGGTATCTAAGTCAAAATGCTCAGAGCAGATGGATCTGCTGGCTATACCTGTGCAGGTCCACTGTATTAGGGACGAGGCCTTTTTTTTCCTTTGGAGACACCAGAGGCGGGACCCTTCGTCTTCTCCTTCGTCAGCGCCATCGCTTCCTCCAACGCTTTCAGCTTCTTTTGCGTTTCCTTAACTTCATCTTCTTTATTTTTAATAACTTTTAGGAAAAAGTCAAAAAGTTGGCTCATAGTGGCTTTCTGATTTGCCTTGAAATCCCAGGGCATTGAGACAATATACCTTCCGCTAGGATTCCAAGTTGTCAACTCCAGCATGGCAGCTGCAACAGCATTAGCCACCAAGGGACCATACTTTTCGCGGATATTTGTCAACTCCTTATCGTCTTCATTAACGGAGTACTGCAGAATACACAAGCAAAAACCTTAATTAGCAAAGTCAGTTCATAAATATACACAAAATTTATCAGTCAAATGGTCATAACTTCCTTCAAATGTACTAAGAGAAAACTAACCAGAACGAAAAAAATACCCCTCTATCATGAGAAATGAAAGAAATCTGCACGAATCAAATAAAATCTCGCAACCTAAGATCTCTCACACGAACTATACAAACTAGATCAGTTCGACATAGAGGAGCTCTGCAATAATCCTCAATGTGGATAAAATCGTACCTTATGTCCTCCTTTCCCGTCGGACTCCACCCTGATTGGATTAAACGTATTATCTGCCATTAGTGTCTCTACTCTACTTTGCCACTTACAGAACCTCATTTTGCTTGGAAACTTGTGACCGCACGCTTCCCACCAACCTTCTGTGTTCAGCTGTCCCAATCTCTTCACCCCAATGTCGGATGTGCCATATTTTTCCAACACCTGGTCCACAAAAAGGATGAATAAATTACCATTTCGTGAAAGTATAGCCCGCACGTAAAAGAGTAAGTATATTTTCAGAAATACAGACATATGAAAACACTACTCACTTTCAATTTTATTATTAATGTCTTAGCATCTTCGACTTCACTATTTGCTTGTCTGTGCGAAATTGTTAATTGATTCACAAGATCATTGTTATAATCCATGTCTTCTTCGCAGTCCTTTAACTTTTCCTCCAACTCAGCGATCTTCTTGACATATTCCTCTTTTTCTTTTTCTGTTTCCTCTATGTTTGCTTCGATGATCTCTGCCTTCTTGGCCTTTTCCGCCTCCAATTGCTCCGTCACACGGTGATTCTCCAACTCACGCCAATGCTTTGCTTGAAGTTTTTTCCGTTGCTCTTGAAGCTCGTTCTCTAATTTGTCACTCTCATCCTGCAGTAATATGGACTCTAATTAAACCCAATCTAAGCACGTGTCCACGTTTTCATACTGTAAAAGAGCCTTGTGTACTAGACATTATAGAGACATACAAATCAATTTCAGAAGAATTCCACGGCTATTATTTCAGGATATCTACTTCGTCTGTCATAGCGGTACTCTAAGTTACACAGTCGTCATAGAATCCGCATTACAACAATGAAAATAGTTAAGCACGAATCAATGTCAATTACGGAATATTACACTATACACCTAACGTGGTAAAACAGTAGAGTAGAAATACCAACCTTGTGCTTTTTAATGAGCTCAATCTGCTTGAGTTGTTGCTCTTCCTGAATCTTAGCTTGAACCTTGTACCATGCTAATAGTTTTTGTGTCTACACGTGGAAATATGAGGTCAACACAGGTTTGAATGTAAAAAGGAAGAAAGAAGAATGGGTAAAAGACTAAAAACATGGATACTGTATCGAAGTTGCCGAGTACCTCCTGTCTTTCTGCAAAATTTCGAGCCTTCTCAGCCTCATTCTCAATTTGCAACATTCCTAGTTCAGAGCATTTGCTTTCTAGCTCTTTCATCCTGTTTTCGATTTGTGTTCGATAAGCACCCATATTCCTCTCATGCTCTTCCGCTGCAAGAGATGCCGCTCGTTGCAACCCCTCAAGTTCTGCGGATAAGATAAGCAAAAGCACATCAGAGAAACTTCAACAATGTGCCCCACAGATGGCAACAATGCTGAAAGATGTGGCTCTTATCCAAGAGAAAAAACGCAACACCTTACCTTTTTTATGATTCTCGATAAGCTTTAGCTTCTCACTCTCTGCTTGTTCACGTTGGGCAGTGACAAGATCTACCTTGTTGGTCAAGCTCCAGTTCTCCCGATGAGTTACTTGCAAGACATCATCCTTGTTTATGACGACTTTCTTCAGATTTTGCACCTGTTGCTGTGCTGTAAGTTCCAATTCCTTCACAATCTCTGGGAGGCATTTCAGGTCGCCATTTGCCCTCAGGTGCTCGACTAGAAGTTTGTGAGAGCCCTTGTTCCAGCCATCGACATCCTGTAAATTTGCCACTTCAACATCACCACCGTGAAATAAGAATCTAAAGAACTGGATAAAAACTAATTTGTTCGCAAGGAGAGCATACCTTCTCAGTAGCCATCCATCCATACAAGTGTTCGCCGAGGGCATGTGGATAGTTCATCTCGAAATCCTTCCGTCCTCGCCTTTTCAGGCAGAAGCTATTCTCAAACGCTTCAGCGTCTTTGAACCCATCCATTGTGTTCCGAAACCCAACGACAGCCATGCCTAGATGACCTTTATAATCATATAACACCTTAACCGATTCTGGGTTGAAAGCCTGAAATCAAAATAGAGCTTAATGGTTTTAATAGCTGAACCTTGACGAACAACAATTCACGACATAGATTGAATGAGGCTAACTTTACGCTTCGAATTCATGAATAGAAAGTTCATGCGGCGAACAATTGTATTCCTGAGTAGAAAATGTACCCGGAGATGCTCTTTGATATCTGCCGCACCAGGGCCGATTCGGAACTGGTCCGCTGGCCTGCGAGTTCGATTGTCAATGTTTTGCAATATGCCCATCCATGGACGGACACGTTTGTCGTCGTTATCCACCCTGGAAGGTACCTCTTGCTGCAAATGAATAACTCGCTCCGCCTGAGGGTGTGCCCTTGCAGCCATATCCTGTTCCAGGTACTTTTGCAAGGCGCGATGATTTCCAGCAGCGACAGGACCCCGCTCCCCTTTACCAACTCCCACAGCATGCTGATGTAATTCACTGTATACATAGTTCTGCTTCTTACGACCGGGTGAATAAGGACACCTGAAGGTGCCATCGGAGTTCAAACACTTGAGTGACCCATTTTTAAGTCCTGTCCAGGCTAAGTCGAATGCCTCATTCATTTCGTCAGAGTCATAGTCGTCACTGTCTGGCTCATCCATCTCTGAAGACACCTCCTGTAAGCAGATTAAAACAAAACGCCTAAAATACTCGTTTGGTAGGATTCTTACTGCTCAATTGTCCACACTCACCTTAACAAAACAAACCCTAGCATCTATTACTCCACATCCTCCACGAGATCATCCACGTTATTCTGAAGATTTCTAGCAAATTATGCGACACTCACGTCACCTTCAACTTCAACTCCCTTCAAGTCTCCGGACAATCAGCACTTAGGGAAGACGGAGAGTCTTCGGAGGAGAAGATCAAGGGAATAGAGATACTGCAGCCAATGTTTGAATCCACATTCGAATCGATATAAAAGCACAAATCGAAACACACGATGCAACATTCCAAACCTCCAACGGCGCCATCCTACCAAAGCCACAAGATCCAAAAGGAATCTCAAATGGCAGCGAATTACTCGGAGCCCGAAGCTTGCCTAACAGGCAGAGGCAAGAATCGCAAGAGCCAAATCGTATCAATGAAGCGAGTCTTTAATAATCTGTAGGCCACACACGTGCAGACACAACCACGCCCACTGTAGGGCTCCGGAGCAGCATAGTGCAAACTGACGGATGAAACAGCGGAACAAGTGAATGAATAAATTATGGATGAACGCAACCACGTTCTCATCAGACTCAAATACCCTGAACCGTGTCGATATCCGTGTTCGTTCCTCACAAAGGAGCCTTAAATTGGAATTCAAAATGCTAATCCTACGTAAACAATTGCATATTGTATTTGTCATTAAAGAAATATTATACAATGTTTAAGTTGAAACATACTGTGCAACTCTTTGTTGAAAAGTACACAATACTATATTGTACCAATAATGCTAGTGATTTAAAAATAAAAAAGGCATAGATTTTTTCTTTTTAAAAATATTTTGGCTAAAGTGCCAAATGTGTAATGAAATATATGAGCTTGATATCCATTTTTTCAATAAATAAATAAAATATTCACATCTTTAAAAAGTAATTAAGAATCATCAAAATAATTATTTTATACAACTCAAATTCAAAGAAAAATGAAATATATTTCTTTCATAGATTTATTAATATTGATTTTGAAATTTTTAATATTGAATTATAAAAAAATAAATTTTATTTAAATATTTTATATTTTATAATATATATGTATATATATATATATATATATATAAAGAAATAATAAAGCAACCTAAATTGTTACTAAATTGATCCAAACTATCAAAACCATCATTATGCTCCCATCTCTCATTCTCATTCCTATAGTTCTCAATCTTCTCATCTTCATTCTCCATGTAGATCCTTCTAGATCTCTTTCTTAGTCATCTTATGCAACAACTAAGCATTGTTGCTATCGTGTGATAATACAACTATGTAGTGAAAAATAAAAAATAAATTGGATGTTATTATAGGAGATACTAGTAGAAAGATGTAGAAGAAAAATAATGATAAATTATATAAAGGGAGTAAAAATTTTAGTCCTATGTCTATGGAAGAAGTTTAAAATCTATATTAAGAAGTTGTGCATTTGAAATTAGCAAGTAAATTAATCTCACAACCAAATCTAAGAAGTTTTGTTTCTATAAGTATGATGGGAATTTGGATTAATTTGCTTGATAAGTTTTGATGGAACAAGATCAAAATTTCAAGGATTTCTACAACAAGTAAAATTCTATCTAAGATTACATTCCTTCGAACAATATTGACGTAAGTCGACATAGATGCTGAAAAAAAAAAAAAATGGAACTATAAGCAGGAGTCATATTAGATGTTTCATAAACGCGAATGACCTATCGAAATCTAGTTTATCACCCAGGATTCTATGTGTGGAAGAAGGAAAGAAAGGTCAAGGATTACAACATTTTAGAGGCACTAATTTGTGCTTTCTTCCTACAGTTTGAATATGATAAATACAACATACAACACCATGATGAGAAAGTTCCTTCTTCAAAAATCTGATGTTACATCCACAAGTGTGTCTCAACATTTCAAGTTTCCAAGTGAGGGACTTAAGAGCTGGTCAAATATGGATAGGGAAGTCTTGACATAGTTGAATTCAAGTTGATCAGTTCTTGCACTACGCATTCTTATACATTGGGTCAAATCAATCTGTTTGGCTACCATAGTAGCTAACCAAAATTATCAAAGTTTCGATATCTAAACTCTTGTTCCTTGTATGAAAACATCTTTTAAAAATCCTACTTAATGAGGTCACGACAGACGAAAAATCTTACATTGACCATAGACTAAATATATTGCATCAATCTTGAGAGTTTGAACCTAAGGAGCCGCTATATTATCGTTTAAATCATAAGTAAAGTCAATGCTTGTAACGTTGCTTATAATATCGAAAGGTAAACTTGAAAGTAAACAACCTGCATGTGTGACTTACACTTTAATTACTTCTCTCAAGGATAATCAAATGCGCCACTGCTGAATATAATGGATGTTCCAACACTGTGGATATCTAGCATTATAGAATTAGTACAAAACGAGCTACGAGCGGAAGTTGAATATGTATGTAGTATTTTATAAAAACAAGCATTTTGCAATACACTACCTAATCTAAACTTATATAAGTGGATCGAAACTCAAAGTTAACTTGAAGTTGTACCTTGTCCACCAACTCCTGTTTGACAAACCATAGATACATACCAAGATGAGGTGCAACTCATAAGAAACTATGTAATGTTGTGTCACAACTGAGTTCTCTATTATGATTAATACAAAACGGTCATAGGAAATTAACATCTTTTTTCATCAGCAAAGAAAGTAAAACCAAAGAGAGAGAGGAAAAAAAAAAAAAAAAAAAAAAAAAAAAAAACTGCTTCAGATAAGATTGTAAAAGCAGGATGCCTATGAAGATGGATATTAGAGCATGTAATAGTCAAGGAATCGGCTGCGGCAAAATTTTCATTCAGATCCATACTAAAATGGATCGATACTTATGGGTGCATCCCACTTGTTTAAACTATTGCAGATTCTTAGAGAGAAATTCGATCCTTGAGACCAAAATTAAAGCATATCAACATCATACCAACCTTGAAGAGAGAAATCTTTAAGGTTGATTCTACACAATGAGTAAATATCTGCAAAGATAGATTTATATTGAAGCATGGAAGCCAAGAATATCACACAGCAGAGCGCTTGCAAATTCGTAATCAACATCTACTAGTGAACCTCCAACAAGTATCCGTCTATAGCTGTGCAACAAGTTGCACTGGATGGCGTAGTTGTCAGTGTATATCGCTACAAGTAAAGAGACACCGACGAGTTAGGAAATCCACCCTAGAAACTCACGATGCTGACTACAATGTTAGAGAGCCAACTTTTTCATCTCTAGAACATGGCAAACGAAAATGACAGTTTGATAACATCAATAATCAACTAAATTATTAAGGATGAGCTAATTTTGTCTAGTTTTAGCTTCAAATTGGAGTATTTCTAAATGAACAGCTGCTTGTCCATTCTGTCCGGATATGTTCCTGCAAGCATATTAAAGATGTGACACTTGAAACAGAAAAATGTGACACTTGGTGCTTCAATTGTCAAGCCCTCCTTGAAAACATACAACCTTGATGAACATTCACATGAAAATTTCAGCAGACAATTATCACGTCAACAACAGAGTATATAAAGGGTATAGCCGTTTCGAAACATCATTCCTCACCTTTGTTGACACGGCAGCTCATGAAGTTACGCAACATGGAATCTAAACGAAACTTATTAAAGTTTTTTTCTTAAATATTGTTTTCCAATCAACTAACAAATCCCACACTTATTATAAGTATATGATGTGGTGCCCTAAGGACTAATGTCGACCATGTTTCAACACCAACCTTCTCTAAATATCAATCTAAGACTTTTCTAGATAATTTTTGTTAAAAATTATTCTTTATTTTTACCTAAAGATGCATATTTGACTTATTTTTTTATCTTATAATGTAAATAGAAGCCATTTTTATCAAAAAGAAGTACTAGCTCTAAAACATTTTACCACCTTATTAATTTTTATTTATATTCCTAAAATATATTTTTATTATAAGATCTTATATAATAAAAACCTTCCATTTATCTTTCATCTTAAAGTCAATACAACAATACAAAATTGTTTCTTTATTTTTAGTAAGTTTTGTATAAAAAAAGAATGTATAATTTTATTTATATGATTGACTATTATAAAGTAAGATATAAGAATTTGATAATTGAAATTTTATAAAAAAGACCATTAAAAAAAATGATTGATGGTTTTTAGAAATATATAGAGGTTACAAAGTCTATAGAAATGATAATGTAGAGTCTTTATTCAAAAATAAGTATTATAGTATTGAACAAATTTATTTATATTATTTTATATTTGATGCCTCCAACAAATCTCTATAAATAATTTTTAAAGTTAAATTATATTTAAAATTTTATGGCTCTAGAAAGTATTGTTATACTTGCAATGCACATAATAGTATTTAATCCTTTAGGTTATAAAAAATTCTTTTAAAATAAAGAATTATCTTTAAAATCATATTTTTTAGAATCATTATAATACTAATTTTTTAACACCAAGAATAAAAGAATTTTTAAACAAATTAAGACAAATTTGATTAATAAAAGTTGTGCCATCTAAAATTCTTATAATAATAGCTTAAAGATACACCTACTTTGATTTTAAAAGAACATTTTGTTGTGAATCATATGCGGCACCTCTTTTTTTCAATACAAGATAAGAATGTCTAGATAAGGCATTTTAAAAGCTCTATTCTTTTTTAAATAAATACATAAATATAAATACAAATCATAGAAAAGACATACTCCAACAACATTCACAATAATTTAAAATACATGTTGACATAAAATACTTACAATTTATGTGATTGATAAAATAAAAAGCTATTTTTAAGTTGGAATTCTATCATTAAAACGAATTCATAACAATTAGAATTTATTATTGTACTTTTTATAATTAATCTTGGTTGTTGAGAAGTTTTAAGAATAAAAAAAAATAGAATAAAATCTATCTATATTCAATTTTTATAGAATTATATTTAATACAAAATTAAATATATTTATTTTAATTAAAATATTTAAAGAAATTTAGAAAAAATAAAATAAAAGTTAAAATGAAAGTTATTTTTCAAACTTCTTATGCTCATTATATTTATCTTGATTCTACAAATATATATATATATATATATATATATATAGAAGCTAAGCATATAAATAGAACAACTTAAAAGTTCTTAAAAATTCTTGATAATTATTTAATAATTGTTTAGAAATACTAAAAAATATTGATTATATATAATTATTAGAATTGTATAATCTATAATAGTTTGTACGTTTTTAGAGTTTTTATTTAAAATTAGTATATCTATTAGTAATATCTAGAACTTCTACATATATTTTCTTATTTTTTAGTTGATTTTATCATAGCATATAATCCTACAACATTGAAATTTTATAATATAAGACAAATATTTTTTTTATGTCTGATTTTTTTAAAATATATTAACATTATTTTTACTAAATTAAGATTCTAATCTAATCTCTATCTAAATAAATACTTCATACTGCTTAAATATTTATAGAATAATATATTTTTTGTTTTGCAATTTGCATAACCATCTTCGCTCCAACAAATAAAGTTTAAGATATTTTTTTAGTATTTAGGCTAAATTTTGCAAGGACCTTTTCTAATCTCCAAAAACAATATCATAATTATACAATTTAAACTTTTTAAATTTATTATTAGTGGATATGAAGGATATTAAATGATATTAAAGACAATTTTAGATTCTTAATTTCTAAATGCCACTTTATAAGGCCAAGTTTCTTATATAAAACTTCTAATTGGAAGTAGTTGTGTATTAATAGCCTTATTTTTAAAAAAAAACATTCTATAATTGAAGTTGTGCTCTGTATCTTAAATCTATTAGATTTGATGTTGCAATATTTTTATTTTATGACCTGATTCTCTATAATATAAATATATATTTTTACAAAAATAATTATCATTTATATCTTTTATTGATTGTTTGAATTGAGTTGAATTGATCTATAAATATTTTGGGCTTAATCAATAGATATATAAAGCTTTAGAAGTTATTATTATAACTTGGATTGTTATTCTTTAAATAAATCATTGTACTTGGCATCTTTTGAAGAAATGACTATTGTTTGATATTGCTTAAGTGATGAAATATTCTAATGAATCTAATTTTTAAATTTTCAAAAATAAATTTATAACCTTTTCTTTTAATTTATTTTTAAACTATTTTAAAAAAAAAAAAAAAAAAAAAAAAAAAAAAACTTGATTGTTTTAATTCATGTCACAAGCAAGCTATTAGAATTTTGTAATACATATAGCAATTGAATGTGCTTTCTATTGCAAAGACTAAAGTTTTGTTTTTACTAGTCTTTTATAGTTTCTCTTTATTAATGTACTTGTAAATACCTCCAAAAAATAGTTTAAATCATTCAAAAGACTTAAATATTTTTTTTATTATTATTTAAGATGCAAAGCAAGAAAGAATATTTTTAAATAGAATTGAGTCTAAAATCCTACTTTAGTAAAATCATCAAGCTATCAAGAAGGATTTATTTGCAAAAATATTACTTAAAAGACAAGTTTCAATAGCCACATGGTGCAATTATTGGAATCTAAATTTCAAATCTCTATTTCAAAAAAATCTTCAAAGTTTCTCAAAGAAGATACTATCAATCTAATATATTTTACCTACTTCTACTTACTTCTATTTACTTAAGTAACATAGGAATTCATTTTGATCTTTAACTGAAGAGTACTCAATAAAACTTGATTATTAATACAACAATATTTTGATATTAATTATTATAACATCAAGATAAGATCTAATTAAAAAATAAAAAATAAATGTATAAAATCTCTTAAGATACTTAATTTATAATATTTTTTATTTAAAATTTATTATAAAATTATAAAATAAATATTATAGAATTTATTAAAATATATGATATATTGGAACCTTATTTATTATCATGAGTAAAAAAAAGAGGTTGTGATGGTTGAGTGGTGTTAGCAATCAGATTAGATTAGATTAGACTCTTGTAGCAAGAAAATAAATAAATAAATAAATAAATAAATATGATACAATAATTGATTTGTCATGTTTGGTACTCTTTCAGCAGCAAACCTTATCCAACTTTTTCAAAATTTTTAAAGATTTTTTTAATTCATTTTTTTTTGCTTAATCTTCCGAGAATAGTTTTTTATCATTGATTTTGCAAGCTTAGGTACACAAGTTCTGATATTGTTTTTTTGAAAGAGGCTACACATCTACAACAGCAAGCATCATTGAAGGTGTTATTTTATTATTATATGTGAAAGATAATCATAAATAATAAGCTGCTTTTTTAAATGCCACAATTGCCCTTTTCTACCACTTTATTGAAAACATAAGCAAGAATGATAAGAAGCAGATGTGACTAATTTTGACAATGTACTTTAGCCTCCCTTTGTGCAATTACATTGAGTAAAGGAAAACATGGTGAAGCAAATAACTAAGTTACCTATCTATCTAGAGTCACCTCAGTAGCAAACATGTATTTGCTTTATGTAATCCCACACGCGTTATATAATTCCAAATTGTCTTTGATGTAGGTAGTTTGTATAGTGTTATAAGTTGTTATCTCCATAATGCAAAAGTATTTTTGCACGAGCTTTGACATCTTTCAAACTTCAAGCATGTTGCACTAAATTAGATGTTATACTAAATTAGATGTATTGGGTGCAACCTCAAAGCCATTAATTACTTATAATTCTACTCCACTTAAGAGAGCATCCAAATTAATACTTCAAGTGCAATAATTAATTCCATAAAATGATAGAATTAATAGAGTGCAAGAAGAATTATGAAAAGCCATTGTGGATGGAGTTTTGTACTTACACTAAAGGAAATGAAGGATTATTAGTGCTCTGATACGATGTAAGAGAAAGAACACTAACAATGATAAAATAAAACATAAAGTATATTAATACAATAACTTGATTACATCATATTCATAAGAGCCTTTTATATTGTCTTATGGAGTGAAGTAGTAACTTTTGTAGTAGTAATAACAATAATAATATTAATAATAATAATTGCACTTGCAAGTGGATTCTTTCATGTCTTTCTTTCTAGGTATTTCATGATTCTCACTTGTTATGTATTTAATTAATAATAGAGAATAAATAAATAAAAAGTAGGAAAGAAAAGAAGAAGTGGTCGGATGATGGAAATGGAATGAGTATCTGATTAACATTCTCTCTGCTTACTCTGCCAATTGGGTGTTTCGTTTGTTTCGGTTCTCATTTGTTCTGATCCTTGCAATCACTGCACATGCCACCAACAGTTTCAAAATTGAAAGGTTCGCACGAAGGAAACAACTGACCGTGAGCCAACTCCACAATTGAACACAAAGTCCATCGAGGTTTTCATCCTGTCTGCCCAGCTGTGACAAAGCCATAAACATTCCAGGACAAAACTGAGGTACATGTAACATGGACACTCCCTACGAGCCCTATAAACACGGAAAGTCATCATAAATGTGATGACATTTGGCTACCCAGCCCCTCCACGACGCAGTAAAGGAATCCTTTTGTTACACAAGTAAGTACAATTTCATCGTCTTGGAAACCCTAATTCAGAGCTAGTTTGAAGGCCAACTATTCTGTAAACGTACATTGGATTTTACACCTAGCTTGAATCCTAACCAGGCATAATCTACAATACAAAAACAAAAAAAATACACCTAAGATGTATCCAAAAGATGGTGTGAATAAAAGCTTACTAAGTTCTTACTGAAAAGAACCCAGCTTGAAACTGAGTACTTTGTCTAGAAAGGGTAAAGGAATTGATTTTGCTTTGTAATGAATTTAGGAACTATTTTTCGAAGGCATTGGGCCGAGGCCAGCTTTCATCATCTTCTTAGTAATGAATTCATAGACTGTAGGTTGCAGAAGACTGAGCACATCAACAGCATGTAGGGATGGACAACGAGGACGAATTCATCCAGGAGCCGAGGAGGATGAGGGAGCTGCTGTATTGAAATGTGCTTTCGATCACAGAGAGCCGTCGATGCGGGGTCCCGATCCACATTCCTCGGGGAGAGAAGTTGTCGAGGGGGGATTCTGCTGCTGGATGGACTCTCTCGGTTTTTCCCCGGTTTTTGTTTTCGAGAGCTTCGCTTTCTTTGGGTGCTAGGGTTGGTGCTGTTCAGGTGCGGTGTGTTGTGGTGACGGCAGCGGCGTTGCTGCAATCTTAGTTTCGCTACGTTTCTCCTGTTGCCATTCCGGTGGTCTATGCTCCTAGTGTGGCGACGCTGGTTTTGCATTCTCTTCCTCGCAGTCGTGCAGTTGGAGCGAGATCTGGCTTTTTGCTCGCGTTACTGTTCCCGTGGAGGGGGGCTGCTCGTCATTTAGGGCGCTTCTGCAACGCCGTTCCTGGCTGTTCTACCTTTTTTGTTGTCTGTGGCGATCCTGCTTCGGAGTGTGCTGCGATCAAGGCTGGTGGCTGCGGAAGCTCCTGTTGTCAACGTGATCTGTTTTCCGTACTTCTTCCGTTGGTCTATCGTTAGAGGGCGAGCGATAGGGGTGTTCATGCTAAGGTGGTAGTTTTCGACGTCGCCTTGTTGCTCTATTGTTGTTATTGCGCCGCCGCCTACCACTGGAGTGTCGACGGGTGCCCTTTTGGGGTATTTTTTTTTTCTCCCTTTTTCCAGCTTCTGCTTCGAATCTTGTTGCTGTTTGTTGTAGTCGTGCATCGAGCTGGTGCTCGGCCCATGTTCTTCTTCATAGTGTGTGAAGGGGCGTTGGATGGTGCTGGTTGCACTGTGGTGGAAGCATCAAGTGTTTGACGGTGTCTCATGATTCTGTTCCGTTTGGTGCTCTCTGGTGGCGCTTCTTTTTTCGGGTTGGTGGTCCAGTGGCATTGAGGATTGTCGACGCTTTCTTGTTGCTGGCCTCGTCGTTTTCGCCTGGTTATTCTTCGGTTCTGTTCTCCACCGTCTTGTTGTTGGCTAAGGCCGTTTGATGCCACTGTTGCGGTTGTGGCTGCAAATTCGACTGCTTCACCGACTGTACTCCTTGAAGTCATGGCTGCTGCTGCAAGTTCTTGAAGAGAGTAGTGGACGTTTAGGTCGTGGTTGGTAGCTGTCGGGGAAATTGCGGTATTTGCTGTCCGCCGACCCGCGTTTTCGTCGCCGTGGATGCTGGAGGATTAAGTCCTGCGGTGCAGTGCCGTCAATTTTGACTGGTGGTTGACTTAATCCGGCTCTTGTTACTGTGCTCGTTCGTCTCCGACTGTTTTTGGGCTCCGGTGTTCAACTATCGCTGAGTTTCCAATCATCGTCCTCGCCTTTAGTCGGCACTCTCGGTGGACTGGCGGGGTTGGCAGGTATTGTTGAATGGGAGAAATGATGTTCTGCAACTAGTAGGCGGACGCGAGTTCGCTGGTGATGTGGGTCTGAATAGCAGATATCAATGCTTAAATTTGGAGATGTGACTGTGTCAGCGAAAAGTTGAGCAAGTAATTTGACGGTTAGAGTCCCTACCGACAATTGCAGAGAGGCAACGTTGTTCAGAATTCATTGTTGCAAGGGTGTTTGAAATGTAGTACCGATTTGTTAGTGCTGATGAGGTAAGGTGGTTGTTCATTAAAACACAGAATCGTGGTGTATGGTTGGCAGCGGAAGGTCCTCGTGAGGCAGGCATTGAAGTTGACAGCGTAGTGAAAAATTTATGTAAGCAGCTTGGTTGTCGATAGAACCGTCGGCTTCGCAGAAGAATTTCATGTGAGCAGCTAGCATCTGGAGTTCGGATAGCTTCCTGTGATACTCTTGGACTCGGAACAATTATGATACCATTATCATCCGGCAGCCCTCTTTTCCATATCCCGAGTTTCTGTTGCAAATCATCTTCGCCTATCCAGTTTCATTCTTGTGAAGGGTTGTAAAGATTGGTGGCAGCTTTGCCAACCCACTTTCATTCCTGTAAAGGGTTCTGAAGATCGAAGGACTTTGAGCCGCCAGTGGGTCGGCGAGCAATTCCATTTCTTCCTGCACAACTGCTATCGCAGCTACTCCAGGCTCGTTTTCGATATCTTCCACATTGCGGTTAGACTTCCAGATTGGGTGAATTGTTGGATTGGATGACTAATTGAGTTGGATAAAGTTAGGTTAGGAATTTGATCAACCCATGTGGATGAACAACTTGAATGAATACTTAGGTATGGGTGAATTCTTATTGTAAGATGACATTTCATTTATGGATGAAGTTTTGTATAAAGATGAATTCTTGTCAATGGATGAGAATATCTAAATTGGAGGTATGATTTTTTATTTTGGTTGCTTGTGATACGTTGGGCTGGGCTAAATTGAGGGAGTTAGAAGGTTAGGTAATAATTGTAATTTATTGGATATTAAAATTTGGTGAATTATTGCATGGTTGAATAAGCCATAAACCATTAGGGTGGTAATATTTATCTTGCAAGAATCTAATCTAGTTTCTCATAAGTCAAATGCTAATATTTGATGTGTGCATCAACAGGTGATAAGGCCATTTCTTAGTAATAAATTTGAGCATCCTAAACTACTATTTTCTAATTCTTCTTTGAATAATGGCTAGGTTGGACCCTACAACTCATACTTCAGAGTCAATGTTGTCGAATGTTAATGGTGTGGGTAATGCTCTTTCCACTACAAATTCAATATGGCTTGAGTTCAAAATGGTTCAAAATGGTTGCATTAGTGTGCCTCTTTTCATATTATAGATAGTGTATTTTCCTATAGGCATGTTTTTGGTTTTTTCTAGTTGTAAGTAATGTTGTGCTAATCTTTACAATGTCTTTTTAATTGTATCCACAACCATATCTTTTTGATTGTATCTACAATCATACGATTTAATATTGGTTCATGGTTATGAAATACATGTACATCATACTTTTGGTGGAGTTGTATCAAGCAAAAATTTAGAGTTGCAATTGTATTTAAAAATTGCAATGAAATCCATGGAAAAAGTCCAAGAGTTAATTTCTCAAAGAAAGGCAACAAATTTGCCAAAATTCAATAAAGAGCAATGTGAATATTTAGCTTGTAAACTCAAGTTCATCATTGAGAGTGCTAGTTCATTCTTTCATGCCATATGTCATCAAAAAGATGTTCCAGTAGAAGCTTTGGCAAGTTGTGTGGGTAATTTCAAGCTATTTGTTGCAAAGGCAAAAGAAATTGAAATCTTCATCCAAGATTGTTGCAAAAATGCATGGATCAAGGTTGTCATTGTATTGACAAAAGTGTAAGAGCGTGTTTCATCAATAAGTTTTAATTTGGAATTATGTAGACTTATATTTTTTGACTATGAGTTTAGAGCACCACTAAGTAGAACTTGGACAGAACTTGTTGACGAAATTGAAGAGATCAATAGCATTGAAGCCAAGATTGTGCAAGAGAAAGCATTTCAAGATGAAGATGCATTGTTAAAGAAAGTGGATTTGGAATTGAGATCATTGAATGGTAAGGAGAAAGAGTTGGCTTACATTTTGCTTGAAAGACTTACAAGCACATCAATTGCATCTTCACGAAACCTATTGAAGGGACAATTGGACAAGGTGAAGCAACACAACCAGATAGGAAAAGGTGCATGTGCAACTGTATTTAAAGTTAATTGGTTAGAGATGGAAGTTGCAAAGAATGTATTTTATGGATCAAACAATTAACATTTTGAATAAGAAGTGTCAATTGTATTGGAGGTGTTTCATGCAAATGTTATGTCCATACTTCACTATACTTCAAGCGAGCATCATTGCTCTATTTTCATGGAGTTGATGGATGGAGATCTTACTTCTTTAATATGGCATAGATTGAAAACTCTTCATCTAGATAAACCATTCTCTAATATAGTAGTTGTTGACATTATTCTTCAAATTGCAGAAGGTATGGTTTGTCTTCACTCAAAAGATATTGTGCATAGGGACTTGAAACCAAACAATGTTTTGGTGAAGATAATAAATATGGAAACTGGACATGTACATGCCAAATTGGCAGATTTTGGAATGTCCAAAACCAAAAAGAGTAGTTGTTCTACTCAAATACTAAATATAGGTACTACTAGATATATGGCTCCAGAAATGATTAAAATCCATGAGCAAAGAAGTGAAAACCATGCGCTTACAAGTTCAAACAAACGAAAGTATCTACCAAAAAGTGATGTGTATAGTTTTGGTATGGTGTGTTATCAAGTACTAACTGGAAAAGTCCCTTTCTCAAATCTAAGTAATAGCAAAGCTAAGAAAAAGATAAAGAGTGGAGAGTGCCCATCTCTACCTCATCATTGTCCATCAATTTTGAAGAGTTTGATAGAAGTCTGTTGGAAATTTAATCCCAAAGATCGTCCAACTTTTTTGGAGATTTGTAAGGATTTAAGGTGTATAAAGTATTTATTGATAATATTGCCAAATAAATCAATCAATTTTCTATCTTTTACAATCTTGAGAATAAGTGAATCTTCAAGTTTGATATCATTGTTAAATAAATTGGACAATTATTCATCTTTGACTACTTGTGAAATAACTAAGTGCTCAAAATTGATATCATTGCCAAATGAATTGGGCAACCTCTCATCTTTGACTTCTTTAAATTTAAGTGGATGTTTTAGCTTGATTTCATTGCCAAATGAATTGGGCAACCTCTCATCTTTGACTTCTTTAAATTTAAGTGGGTGTTCTAGCTTGATTTCATTGCCAAATGAATTGGGCAACCTTTCATCTTTGACTACTTTAGATATGAGTAAGTGTACAAGCTTGGCATCATTGCCAAATGATTTGGGCAATCTCACATCTTTAACTTCCTTAAATATATGTGAGTGCTCTAACTTGACATCATTGCCAAATAAATTGGGCAACCTCATATCTTTGACTTCCTTAAATATATGTGAGTGCTCAAACTTGACATCATTGCCAAATGAATTGGGCAACCTCTCATCTTTGGCTACTTTAGATATAAGTAAGTGTTCAAGGTTGGCATCATTGCCAAATGAATTGGGCAATCTCACATCTTTGACTTCTTTAAATTTAAGTGGGTATTGGAAGTTGACATCATTGCCAAATGAATTAGACAACCTCACATTTTTGACTTCCTTAAATATATGTGAGTGCTCAAACTTGACATCATTGCCAAATGAATTAGGCAACCTCACATCTTTGACTTCCTTAAATTTAAGTGGATGTTCTAGCTTGATTTCATTGCCAAATGAATTGAGCAACCTTTCATCTTTGACTACTTTATATAAGAGTAAGTGCTCAAAGTTGATATCATTACCAAATGAAATTGGCAACATCACATCTTTGACTTCCTTAAATTTAAATTGCTATTGGAAGTTGAAATCATTGCCAAATGAATTGGGCAACCTCACATCTTTGACTTCTTTAAATTTAAGTGGGTGTTCTAGCTTAATTTCATTACTAAATGAATTAGGTAACCTTTCATCTTTGACTACTTTAGATATGAGTAAGTGCTCAAGGTTGGCATCATTGCCAAATGAATTGGACAACCTCAAATCTTTGACTTTCTTAAATTTAAGTTGGTGTTGGAAGTTGACATCATTGCCAAATGAATTGGGCAACCTTTCATCTTTGACTACTTTAGATACAAGTAAGTGCCAAAGCTTGGCATCATTGCCAAATGAATTGGGCAACTTCACATCTTTGACTTCCTTAAATTTAAGTGGGTGTTGGGAGTTGAAATCATTACCAAATGAATTGGGCAACCTCACATCTTTGGTTTCCTTTAATTTAAGTGAATGCCCAAGTTTGATAACATTGCCAAATGAATTGGGCAACCTCATATCTTTGACTTTCTTAAATTTAAGTGAGTGCTCATTCTTGATATCATTGCCAAATGAATTAGGCAACCTCACGTCTTTGCTTTCCTTCAATTTAAGTGAATGCTCAAGCTTGATAACATTGCCAAATGAATTGGGCAACCTCACATCTTTGACTTCCTTAAATTTAAGTGGGTGTTGGAAGTTGATATCATTGCCAAATAAATTGGGCAATCTCACTTCTTTGACTTCCTTAAATGTATGTGAGTGCTTAGACTTGATAACATTGCCAAATGAATTGGGCAACCTCACTTCTTTGACTTCCTTAAATGTATGTGAGTGCTTAAACTTGATAACATTGCCAAATGAATTAAGAAACCTTTCATCTTTATCTGCTTTGGATATGAGTATGTGTCGAAGCTTGACATCATTGATAAGTGAATTGGGCAATCTCACATCTTTGACTTCCTTAAATTTAAGTGGATGTTGGAAGTTGATATCATTGCCAAATGAATTGGGCAACCTCACATCTTTTAATTCCTTAAATTTATGTGATTGTTCAAGATTGGCATCATTGCCAAATGAATTGGGCAACCTCACATCTTTGACTTCTTTAAATTTAAGTGGATGTTCTAGCTTAATTTCATTGCCAAATGAATTGGGCAACCTTTTATCTTTGACTACTTTAGATATGAGTAAGTGTCGAAGCTTGGCATTATTGCCAAATGAATTGGGCAACCTCACATCTTTGACTTCCTTAAATTTAAGTGGGTGTTGGGAGTTGAAATCATTGCGAAATGAATTGGGCAACCTCACATCTTTGGTTTCCTTCAATTTAAGTGAATGCCCAAGCTATATAATACTGCTAAATGAATTGGGCAACCTCACATCTTTGACTTAAATTTATGTTATTGCTCAAGGTTGGCATCATTGCTAAATGAATTAGATAAACTCACATTTTGTCTATCTTAAATATACGTAGATGTGGAAAGTTGAAATTATTGCCAAATAAATTGGATAACCTTACATTTTTGAAAGTCATTGATAAAAAGAGTTGGGTATCATGGTCGAAAGCAATAATCGATGATTATTTAAGAATATATTTATTAAAAAGGTTTTAAATCAATCAAATATACACTTATGTGTTAGTAAGAAATGTAAAATTAAGCCTAGATAGGATACTTTGAACATAAAATAGCACAATAATAATAATAATTCTAAGAAGATAGATTCAAATTTAAAATTTAGAATTTGGAGGATGAGATTTATATATTCTCTAAGAAATAAATAGACTTTTTAAAGTTGTAATTTGAACTATCTCTATATTTTGGAGATCTACAAATTTAATGGTGGACTTTTAATTTTCTATAAGTTTTATAAATTTTAAATATAGGGCCATTTGGTGCTTTACTTTGTTAATTTGTATTTTGCTTTATCTTTTTGAAATTTCAAATTGACAAATCTTTTTTTTAATAATGCTTTTGATTTTAGCAATACATTTAAAATTTTAAGCAAGTCTCTAGATTAAAAAATATGAAGTTTTCAAAATTTCTTAATAAAATTTAAAAATGATCAAAGTTAGAGAATAGAAGATAATGCTTTTAATCCACTAAAATATTGGATGTTCTCTCTTTCTAATATTAATGCAAAACTTCAAGCTTTAGTATTTCTCTCTTAAATTACAAACTTATTCTCAAATATTTTAAGAATATGAAAACTTTACTCAACCATAAACACAAATAATATTATTCTAATCTAACCAAAAATATGCTTAAAAATAAAAAATCTAATTTTTAAGATTCTAATTTATTTAAATCTTAATTAATTTTTTATTGTAATATTCAATTGTATTCAAATTTACAATACACATACACCACATATGTCTTCACAAATCCATAAAATTTTATTTATAAATTTGCTATAAAACTTATACACTTCCTCAAAATAATTTTTTTTAATGTAATACAAAGAAGAGTCAGTCCAAAAAACCTAAACTATATAATAATGTCACAAAGTCAATAAGCACTTAATCCCTCAAAAATAATGCTAAAAAAACTTTTTAAAGATTTCTTTTAGATAGTGCTTTCAATCAACAAACAAATCCCATATTTATTGGTATATGGTTTTGTGCCTTAAGGACTAATTTTCACCATAGTTCATTATCAGCCTTCTTTGAGCATCAATCTAAGACTTTTTTAGATAATTTTTTATTGAAAATTACTCTTTAATTTTATCTTAAGATGCCTATAATATTATTTTTTTTAAATTAGTTTATTTTGATTTATTTTTTATCCTATAATGTAAGTAGATTTTTTTTTTATTATTTATTTTTTTTTAATTTTTTTTATTATTATAAAGAAGCATTAACTCTAAATTATTTTATTATCTTTTTAAAATTTATTTATATTTTTAATATAATTTTTTATTATAAGATCTTATATAATAAAATTCTTCCATTTTTCTTTTACTTTAAAGCCATACTATAACATAACATTGTTTTTTTTTATTTGTAATAAGTTTTGAATAATTTTAAATAGATGATTGACTATCACAGAGTAAAATGTAAAAGTTTGATAGTTAAAAATTTGTAATGAAGTCCATTAAAAAAAATGATTGAAGGTTTTTAAAAATACATAGAAGTTATAAAGTCTATAGAAATGATATTATAGAGTCCCATACTAGGATGAAAAGACCACCTTGAAATTTGGTTGTTGTTGAAGCCTTCATAACTTCCTTCAAATAAAATATTTGGAACACCATTAGCGGTTGTTTCTACCTCTAATAAAATTACCAAACATTGAAAGTCTCTTCGAAGGTCGTGATATCAAATTCATTATATTTTGCCATCTATTTAAGGAAAAACATGTCGTTCTTGAGAATCTTCATCTTAATTGCATCGTATCGAAGATTGTGACAATCACAATATCTTCTCCAGTAGATCAGCAAATAAAGGCTCTTCAGTCGAATCTACTGATTATTAGTTCTTCATCTCATTAGCGTCACAAATATAAAGAAGCTACAAACAACGATTGAAAGTAGAATGTTATCTTGCCTAGATCTTGTTTCTTTTATAGAAAAGGTCTTTATCTTGATTTTGATGGATGTTGTAAGTGAAAAGTCTCCACCTTCTTTGTTGTATTTATAAGATTCTTACTAGATTCTATGTACATTCACTAATATTGTATCTATACCAATGAACAAGATATTCTAACTTATTTTGGTGCCACCTTGAGTCTAAGACTTCTTCTACTTCAAATTCTTCTTTATTATCCACTTCTATAGGAGAAGGTGGTACTTGTTTTCTTCTTGGTATGTCCACTGTCTTGTATGATTCAAGAAGAAACAAGTGGAATAGTAGATGGATTTTTATTGATTTTGATAGGTGTAAACAATGTGCAATTCGATTGATTTGTACAAAAATAAGAAATAGTCTAAGCCTACAATAGTCTAACTTGTTATAAGGACGAGTAGACTTAACATTGCAATGAAATAACCATACCTTGTTACTCACATAGAATGGCAGTTGTTCCTTTTGATAGACATCCTCATTGATCTTTCGTTATTCTTAAGCTTCTTTTAACTGCTCCTTGTTATATGTAGCTTTGACAAGCGATTTGTAAAATCTTCTACTACAAGATTATTAACTTCTGAAAAGTTAAAAATATCAAGTCGTAGATGATAACCATAATTGGCAAAAAAAGGTGTTTATTTTGTTGAAGAATATATTGCATTATTATAAACAAACTCTGCTAATGATAAAAAATTATATAATCATCTTATTGGTAGTTGATGGTACATCTTAAATACTATTCTAAAACTTGATTAATATGCTTCGTTTGTCTATCAGTTTGAGAATGGAATACTAAAGATAGTTTTATATCTACTTTTGGAATCTTGAAAAGAGTCTACCAAAATTTTGATACAAATTGAGTTCCCTTATCTGATATGATATCCCATGATAGCAATAGATATTGTCAAGAAAAAGTTGAGCTGTTTCTTCACTTATGATAGATTTTGTACATAGTATAAAATATGCCATCCTGATAAAATGATCTATTATCACGAATATAGAGTCATAAGAATGTGAGATTGGAAGATCCATGATGAAATCCTTAGAAACAGAAGGCCATAGTTGTTCTGAAATGGGTAATGATTAAAAAAATTCATAAGGTCGATTACAAAGAGTTTTTAATCTTGAACAAATATTACATGACTAAACAAAATCTTTTACACCTTTCCATATTTGTGGCCACTAAAAATCTTTGGATATAAGCTCCAAAGTCTTATTGTATCTAAAATGTCCTATTGCTGGAAAGTTGTGATATTGTCAAGGACACGAACTTGATAAAAACAAATAAATAAGTGAGACTTTTCTCAAAAAAAGTTGAAAAATAGAAATAATTAAATATACACATTAAGAAAAAAATTGGAATGGCTATTACCAAAAGACAAGAAAAACTAGAGACCCTTGAAACTAGACTATAAGTAAGAAATGAATCAACAAGAGTGAAGAAGGCTTCATTCTTGCCTCTATATATACTATCTACCTAGGAGCTACCTGACAACGTTCTATAGGACCTCCAAAAATGTATTGACTTTTTACAACATGTATCTTGAAAGACAAGTTTTCTACAAAGGTGCCACATAGTTAGCTTGGTCAGCAAGCTACCAATATGTGTGGTACGTGGTTAACTTGTTGATCAAGTTTTTAACCTACCAATCAAGTATAAACATATGTAAAATCAAAGCAACATCTATAAAGCTTCTAGGAAGCTTTTCTACAAGATATTATAAAATCAATCTATTTTTATCTACTTCTACCTATTCATATCATCTAGGTAACAATTACAATAAATATATGTCCATGACATTGTTCCCTCTTCTAGGGACGAGTTCCACAAGGAGCGGTGATCACATATTGAAGAAGTCTAAGATGTGGCGAATTGTATTTGCCACATACTCTGATCTTTGTTCTCTTCGAAGATGATTGATAGGGCCTCTCAACCATCGATAGTGTCCCATACCAAGGCGGGAAGACCACCCAATTATTTGATCGTTGTTGAGGCCTTCATAACTTCCTTTAAATAAAATATTTGGAACAACATGAGGAATTGTTCCTACGTCTAGTAAAATCATCAAACATTGGGAGTCCCTTCTAAAGTCATGATACTAAACGCATTGTATCTCACCATTTATTTGAAGAAAAATATGTCATTCTTGAAGATCTTCATCTTGATTATGTCGTCTTGAAGGTTGTGACAATCATAATGTTTTGTTCAACAGGTCAACAAATGAAGACTCTTCAGTCAAATCCACTAGTTATTGGTTCTCCATGTGTTCAGTATTACAACTACAAACAAGGATTAAAAATAGAATATTATCTTAACTAGATCTTATTTCTTTTATAAAGAAGGTTTTTATCTTGGTTTTGATGGATGTTGTCGATGAAAAGCCTCCATTGCCTTTGTTGCATTTGCAAGATTCTTTGTTGGCTCCCTTATGCATTCACTAATATCATATCCATGCTAATGGATAAGATATTCCAATTTATTTCAATGTTGCCTTGAATCTAGGACTTCTTCTACTTTGAACTCTTCATTATTGTTCACTTCTATAAGAGGAGGTGGAATTTGTCTTCTTCTTGGCATGACCACTATTTTGTATGGTTTAAGAAGAGACACGTGGAATATTAGATGGATTTTCATTCACTCTGGTAGATATAAATGATATGCGACTGGATTGATTTGTATAGAAATAGGAAATGGTCCAAGTCTATGATAGTCTAATTTGTCACAAAGATGAGTGGTCTTGATATTGTGACAAAGTAACCATATCTTGTCACTTGTATGGAATGGTGGTTGTTCCTTTCTATAGACATCTGTATTGAACTTTTATTGTTCTTGAGTTTCTTTTAACTGCGCCTTCATTGTTGCATGTAGCTCTGACAAATGATTTTCCAAATCTTTTGCCGCAAGATTATCAACTTTTGAAAAGTCAAATGTATCGAATTGTAGATAATAACCATAATTGGTAAAAAAAGGTGTTTGATTTATAGAAGAATATATCATATTATTATAAGCAGACTCTGCCAATGGCAAAAGAGTTGTCCAATCATCTTATTAATAGTTGATGGTACATCTTAAATATTGCTCCAAAACTTGATTAATACACTTCGTTGTTATAATACGTGAAGTCTTACTTAAAAATGCTCCGGGCACTTGGGTGTGAAAGGTGGAATAGAAATTATGACAACAAAATCCTAATTCTAATAGAACACTAACATTTTTAAACAAGCTTTA